TCAATTATGCTTCATTTCTTAAACATTTACATTATGATTACATGTTATCATCTATTGAAGCTTGGTGTAGTTATTCAAATCAATCATCAGGAAATGCTGTTTCTCTTATCACAGACTCTTTATTGACAATATTTGTAGATAACAATGTCAAATTAACGAGCCTTTTCGTTTGGCCAAATCATGTTCATTGGACTCACTATAGTTCAAATAGATATATGGAATTAGTTGAACCTGAATTTAACGGGTTATTACTGGAGTTAAAAAATTTACATATCGAAACACATTCTAAATATCCATCTGCTAGGTTTTTCTCTCATTTGTCTCGGATAGTTAATATTGTAAGTTAATATATACACACACACACATATATATATTTTGCAATTTTTGAATTAACTTTGAATTATCATCTTGTAGAAAAAATTATTTTTACGTACTCAACTATTGGGTCTTATGGGATTTCCAAATGATTTGGAAAATGAAATGGCTCGTAGTATTAGTAAGTTAATAAATGCTCAAACCAACTTAATCTCGTTCACGCTTTCAAATTCAATTCGATACACTTCGGATTTTATCAAATCTTTATTACCTATAACTCATCATATTAAAAACATTTCATTAATTGAATCAAAAATTTTTGAAATTGATTCTTGGATAATTTTATCTAAATGTATAAATTTACAAAAATTGGAAATTATTAAATGCGCTGGATTGAATGTGGAATCAGTAATCCCTTTTATATCTGCCAATTGGACAACTTTGGAATCAATTCATATTGAAAATAATCAACCAATTGTTGTCAATAATGAATTGGTGCAGTGGGCAAATAAAAATCGTAATAATGTAATAATGAGATGATGATGCAATAAAAAGTTTTATACTTTTTTCATAGTAATCACGTTGGCACTAATATTCATAGTTATATATGCTATCAGGTATTTATTTATTTATCTCTTACCAATATTTATAATACATCATTTATTATCGCAAAAATTATTTTATCTCATTCAATAAAGTTCATCAATTTAAACATCTATTATTTCTATTAAATTGGATCAAATTTTGTATAATGGAACCTGCTAATAAAATTGGCTATTAATCAATTGAATATAGAGTAGGATCCCTTATATCAAACTTGATCATTAAATTTCACAAATGTTAAGGTCAGAGAGACTTTTGACTAACATCTTTGTGGCAGTTGTTTGTAGGTTCTTAACTAATGAATTAGTGATTCACTAATGTTGTAACGAGGTAAATGATGCCACTTTATTTATAACGAAACATTGTCACTTTAGCAATATCTTCTTTGGCATTGTATTAATAAACATAAATTTAAGTAGTGTTAGTAGTCGAGACCTCAACTACCGACAAAGTCGATATTATAAGAATCGACTTAGTCGACTAAGTAATAATTGT